ACACGACAATTGGTAGACAATATTGGTCATTAGCAAAGTGATTTTTATGTGAAGTTTTATTGGTAACAAGTTTAAAAGTTATAACTTTGTAGTATATGAACTATCTATTATAGTCTGTCGGAGTTGAGTTTTATATCTACACAATGTTTTTATTTCTTTTTAATAAAAATGGTGTTGACTTGCTCGGTCGTTAAAAAAAAACAAAAGATTATCCATGAAAGCAAACCCCTTAAAAGATGTGAAAATTATTCCAGATTGACGCTAAGGAAATTATATTAAGCCCAAATATAAGTTGCTATTTTATTTGTCAAAATATTACAGACACACACACGACCACGCGCGCGGACACACACACACACACACGCACACACACACACACACACACACACAGATACAAAGTAGAGAAAATCAGCCTAACACCAATAAAAAGAGCACAAATTTTTTTTAACTTAATATAAAAATAATGAAAATGAGAAAATCGGTAGACAATCGCTGATATCTCCTGACGAGTGAGCCGAACGATTACAAAAAAATTCGTCTACGAAAGTCTCGAGTCGGGGTGCTGAATATAACCTTGCTGCCGGATGTAGTTTATCGTCATACCCAGGACGGTTTACAGTGTGTGATGATGGTTTGGGGTTTCCCTCTTGACGAATATGTATTTTATTGTTGTAAAAAATATTAGTGTCGATAGTTACAAGGCAGGGATTATCCTACCACCAAAAATCTCCCATACTAATAACTTATCATAGACCACAGGATTTAAGGTTGGCATTTTATAGCTGGATTATAAAACTATATTTAGTGGGAATTTTTTAAGGTTAAAAGATCGCATTAAATTTTATTTATAAGTTGCTATCCACTCAGTAAGGATAACTTATTAATAACTTTTAATAAAAACGTTTTATTTTGTCTGAAACTGATTAATTAATAAAATATATTCTGATATTGAGGTACGTTGGAGCAATGAACGGCGGTTCGGATTGAGAAATTGGAGAGCCGAGTTCGAATTCCAGTCGGAGCAATTACTTTCCCTTGGGAAAGGTATAAATCCTCTTCTACCCCGAGCTATGGGTAAATAGTAGGGCAGACTGAGTTCTACAAGAGACGGTAATTCTGACTTCAAAACGGGCTTGGCTATCTTGCCCAAGAAACACAACTTCTACTGCGGTTTCACTATAAGCGGATGACCTCACGAGATTCTCGTGAGATTTTAATAATGTGTCAGCTATAATTTGAATCTGTTACATTGTTTTAGATAATCTTGATTTTTTTTTACATAGATTTTAAAAATTTTACTTGGCAAAAACTATAAATTTAAATATATACATGTTTGGGTAAAGAAACAACTGCATGGGAAATTATTTCCTATGCAAATAAAGGGATAAACGAAAAACACTACCATCGTTGGATTGATTGTTTTGTTTTTTACGGTTTACCAACCTTCTGCAGCTTATTTAAATCCAGAAAATATCTTCAAACTGTGAGAGATAATAATGTGTTTTACTGATACAAGTTCTACTAATTAATCCATACATTGGGGGAAAAGAGATGGATTCATACCTTTCCCAGGGGATTTACGTGTAAGTGAATATAACGGACCCTACTGGAATTTGAACCCGGGTTTTCCATTTTTCAATTCCGAGCCGTTATTCACTACACCATCCGCACACCCAAGCTTACAGAGCATGGTATTCCCAAGCGGGAAATAGCCAATAAATAGATCAGCGAAAAGGATGAAGAAAAATGATTTCTGGTGACTGAAGATCAACTTTCCATTTATAAAGCCGTGTTCCGAAACTGCGAACCACTCTATGAACGACCTGGATTCATTTTAAAAAGCCCTATTGTATGGTTCCTTTGCCTGGGTACTGAAGTGTTTACGAGTACAAAATCAAGATCTTGTGGAATGTCAATATTCAAACAGACCGCATCATTGAGGCCACCAAAGCAGTCAATACCATTGTTGAAAAAAAGCATACAAAAATAAATAAATAAAATAAAATAAATAAAATAAAAACAAAACAAAACAAGAAACAAAAAAAATGTCTCCTCATCGATATTACTGTTCCAGGTGACTATAATATCAAGGTCCAAGAAGCGAAAAACCTTAAAAATTACACCGACCTTCGGAATGAGGTTTGCCAAAGTGGTGGATGCACTGGCTACGATTGCCCCACTTATCATTCGGGTGTTGGGGGTCTATACATAAAAGAGTACATTAAGAAAATCGGAATAAAGACTCGTATGCTATTGCTTCAGAAGTCCGCATTGCTTGTCACTGTAAATATTCTCTGACAGATACTGTCTGTCTGAGATCGGACGAGTTGATGAAGATCACACATGATTCTAGATCTACTGAAAATGAAAATTCGGCCGTAAGAAATAATAATAATAATAATAATAATAATAATGAGGACCTAGGAAAAAATGAATATAGCCAGAGACATAACAAGGTAGCGACGTATGTACATTGGAAGATGTGCAAGAAGCACAAAATCGAAACCACTGAGAGGTGGTATGAACACCAAGCAGACAAAGTTAACTAAAATAACGATGTAACTATCCTCTGTGACTTGCCAATTCAAACTGACATGGAAATGAAAGCCAATAGACCATATATTATCATAAAAGACAAGAAATTCAGGAAGTGTATGCTTATTGACATAGCAGTACCATCTGAGAGAAACACCTCCATGAAAATTATCGAAAAATTGTCCAAATACAAGGACCTGGAGATCGAGATTAACAGGATGTGGGGAATGAAGACTGAGACTGTACCAATAGTAATCGGAGCACTGGGCCTCGTGAGAAAAGGAATGGACAATTTTACTAACAGTGTCCCAGGTAACATCAACATACAAGTTGCCCAGAAGATCGCCCTACTAGGAACATCCCATATACTAAGAAAAGTGCTATCAATTAAATGACAATTCTCTTATAGGGCCTAAAGACCATAGTTTGGACCCGTCTCTACAGGATGCAAGCAGGAAACATAACATACAAATAATAATAATAATAATAATAATAATAATAATAATAATAATAACGCATCTTTAATTGGACCATAACTGACATTAAGCGAGTAGATGTCAAAACTAGAAAACTTCTCACTTGCCACATCATGCATCATCCGAGAACTGATGTTGATTTTCTGTATGTGCCAAGGATCCGAAGGAGGCAGAGAATTAGTTCAACTAGAACTGTCTTACAAAAAACCACACCAATCGGTCTTCAAAGACACCTAGAAACTACAGAAGACTGGATGATGATTTGTGTCAAAAGAACATGAAAAAAAATAAGAAACTTTATTCAGTAATAAAGGAAGTCAACAAATTCAAAAAAAATTTATTTCAATATTTGAAGAAATGCAAATAAACCATAATACATCGACTGCAGCGGCAAAAGAACCTAAAAAAAAAAAAAAAAGCAAATTCAATTCAACAATTTTAAATGGAAACGATGTCAAGATAAGCCTCTTCTTCATGGTCATTAATCTTCCTGTACTAAACAAGCTGATGTAGACAAACCCCGTTCCCGTCAGTGAATACGTAGTGCAGGGTTAAAAGCTGAAATCGAAGGTTTTATTCTTGCTGCACGGGACCAATGCTTGCTAACAAGAAATTACCAAACAACAAATACTGAAAAATTATGTTAGCCCAAAAGGCAGATTCTGTGGTAAATATCCAGAAACAATTGACCATTATCTATCAGCTTGTACTGTGTTAGCACCCACTGAATATAAAACTCGTGGTAGAGTAGGCCAATATCTGCATTTGAGAAATATATAACTTTTATGGGAAGGAAACTGCAAGAAACTGGTGTGGACACCACCCAGACCCGGTTACAGAGATAAAACCTGTAATGTTTTTATGGAACTGTACAATACACAGAGAGAGAACAATCAAAGATAATTACCCAGACATTGTGGTCAAAGACCACAAAAACAGAATGTGTTTTCTTATTGACATGGTAGTTCCTGCTGATTGTAATTTATCTTTGAAGATCTTCAAAAAAAAAAAAAAAAACTATCAAAATACAAGGATCTTGAAGTAAAAATCTCAAAAATGTGGCACATGATGACATCAATAATTCCAGTAATTGGAGCACTAGGATTGATTGGAAAAGGTTCCAATAGACTTATTGAAGGGACCCCTAGTATCCTACGCCTTAAGTCAATACAAAAAAAAGAAGAAAAGAAACTATACTCACAAATACCGCACACATTATGAAAAGCTTTATCTATGTAAAATGTGTGTGATCTTTTGTTTTTCTGACAAAAATGCTCCTTGTAAAATGTTATAAAGCCATTTAAGACTTCGGTCTCTGGTTGGAAGGAAATGTGCAACAGAAATCAAAGGAAATAATAATAATAATAATAATAATAATAATAATAATAATAATAACGATGTAACTATCCTCCGGGACATTCCAATTCAAACTGACAGGGAAATAAAAGCCAACAGATCTGATATTATCATAAAAGACAAGAAATTCAGGAAGTCTATGCTTATTGACACAGCAGTACCATCTGAGAGAAAGACCTCCATGAAAATTATCGGGAAATTGTCCAAATACAAGGATCCTGAAGATAGAAATTAACAGGATGTAGAGAATGAAGACTAAGACTGTACCAATAGTAATCGGAGCACTGGGCCTCGTGAATGGATAATTGTCCCAGGTAACATCAACATACACGGTGTCCTGCCCAGAAGATCGCCCTACTAGGAACATACCATATGCTAAGAAAAGTGCTATCAATTAAATGACGTCTCCTATAGGTCCTAAAGACCATCGTTTGGACCCGGCTCTACAGGACACAAAGCTGGCAACATAACATGGACAAATAATAATAATAATAATGATGATAATAATAATAATGATAACAATAATGAAAGAAATGGGTAGATAAGAATATGGTTTAAATTTATATTTTACAGCTATTTTGAATTTATTTGAAATTTTGTATGGAAGCCTCATGTATTGTAAGAATTGAAAACAAAATGCATTGACGAAGAAGAGATAATAATAATAAAAAAGAAGAAGAAGAAGAAGAAGAAGAAGGAGGAGGAGGAGGAGGACATCAAGCTGGGGGTAAGGATAAATTAAAAAAAAAGAAGGTTGGTGAAGGAAGACGGCTTTGTATTGCAAAGAGCTGAAAGAATTGATGTTTCTCTATGTCGCTCTTGAGTTGCTGACTCGATCACTCGCTACGGCTGCTATGACTGAAAAATAAATACAAGGCCTTTCTCTTCCTCGCCTTCCAAATCCACGTGCCTTGACTCGTGATAAACAATAAACAAAACGGTTTTGAAAAATCAAACACACGAGGAGGATTCCGGATCCAAAAAGAAAGAAAGAAAGAAAGTAAAAGATCCGATTTGCTGCACTTAAAGACAAAGAGACCGTTTCAGAATGAAATGCGTACACACAGACACAGTAACACAGATGAAATTAAACCCGAAGACATATGTGAATCGTCCCTTTTTTGGACGCAGATTAGTCAACAAAAGAAAGGGTAAAAAAAAAAAAAAAGGAAAAAAAGAGAAGGTTTAGCTGTCTGTAAATTTCACATCTATGGTTAGGGCACCGCAAGTAGAGCGATGATGACCAGGTCAGTCTCACATGCCGATTGGCGTGTGTAACGATTTTAAAACCAACATCGGTATGACTCGTTTACTGTGGCCTTGTGCCAGACGAGACGAATTCGGGAAAATTGCTGTTTATTAATTAGGGAAAAAATAGCACGTCCGATCACCGTTTCTTTCTTTCTTTCTTTCTTTCTTTCTTTCTTTTTTTTTTTTCAAAACAGTTCAGTACCTATCTATTTCAATTTTTCTTTCACTATCTATCTATCTATCTATCTATCTATCTATCTATCTATCTATCTATCTATCTATCTATCTATCTAGGCTTGTTCATTATCTATCTCTATTTGTATGTATATAAATATAAAAGTAGACAATGATGTTCACACCGAGTGTCGACAGTCTGTTTCATGCATGTACGCCATCTTCAGGCCACTAAGATGTCCTAAAGAGGACAAGCCTTCAAGGGCGAAATAGGAAACTTGCATTTTGAGACGAAAATAAATCAATATACTATTTTAATAAATAAATGTAGCTCCACGAAAAAAAAAAATTAATATATATATATATATATATATATATATTTATTTTTCATTTTTTTTTTTATGTTTAACGAAAAATATTTTATTTTTAAACAGAAAAAAAATGCTTAAAAGGATTAAACAATAAAATAACAACGTTTTAAATAAAAAAAATTCTTTAATTCAATAAATTGTCGGACCTCGTCCATTTCTTAACATATGACGTCATTTGTTTACATTCGATACGCCAGAGCAGTTATGAATGTACGAGATTCATGGAAGATTGTAGTTTATAACAGTAAATTCGACCTTGTCTACCATAAGGTTCATGGTGGCCGAGTGGTTAAGGCACGTCAGCGTATATGACGGTTCCGTATAGGATGCAGGTTCGAATCCTGTCTATGAACGAATATTTTCTATGAAAATTTCTCGGACATTCAGGCCGGTAAATGTTATTTAATACTGTTTATCATAAACAGAGCATTTGCTTAAATACTTGTATCTATAAAATAACAACGTTAAACATAAATAAAAATGTCTTTAATAAATAAATTGTCGGACCTCGTCCATTTCTTAATATATATATATATATATATTTATGAATAAAAAATGACAATATATATTTAAACTGGTAATTGTTTTTATATCGTTTCGTCCAATGTGGACTTTATCAATTTTTATTCATAAATATTGTATATTTTTATATACTCAATGATTAAATCATTTTTTAAATATTATATATATATATATATATATATATATATATATATATATATATATATATATATATATATATTAATGTGAGAGAGAGTTAATTTAATATATAAAATAATGTCAATAACTGATTGGTGTTACAAAAAACACAACAATATTGGTATGACCAACAGACAACTTGCCAGACAACCTTGTAGATAAGAAAAAAAACAAACAAGGCAAGGAAAATTACTAAAAGGTAAAAAAAACGCCATTCTAAGTAGTAAATTAAAATTGCTCAACGCCTAAAGCATCTAGACAAAACAAAAAAATATTTCCTAAAATCGAATCATAAACTTATATTCACGCTCTTGCGATTTTCAAAATCACATAATGTACTTCTGTCATTTCAAAATTTTGCGTTTTTACATTCGTTTTTAGTTCGATCATGTATTTTTTCGATACATGACTGACGAGGCAGATTTTTTTTCGTTAGGGTTGAACATTTTTTCTGCGGTAGACCAGTGGCTACCTAAGACTATATCAATTGGTCTGTCCTGCTATTTGAGCAACATCTGGTGAATTCAAGAAAATAATTCATATCTATCCCAAGGGTCAATCAATCAGTTATGTGCCATGATTCTTTATACACAAATTAGGCGATCACGTATCTTTCAATACATGACTGACAAAGCAGGTTTTTTTTCAATAGGTTGTCATTTTCTTTCTACAGTAGACCAGTTGCCATTCTTCCTGCTATTTAACCATAATTGGGTGAAAGAAGATTCAAAACAATTTCCTTTGGTATTAGCACGTAAATGAATGTAATGGATTCGAGTGGAATTCGAGCTCGGATCTCCGATTCCTCAATCCGAGCCGCTATATAGGTAGATATATTTCGAAGTTAGCACAGTATTTTTTTCCTTAATATTTCCTTGTAATTATATTTAATTTATTTTTAATGACGTTGAAGTATTTCAATTTATATTTTGAGTGTTTTTTGTCAAATTAATAGTTTCGACATTTCATTGTATTTTTCTTCTCAGTACCTAAACGTGACTACGTATTTTTTTCTCTTCTTTTTCAATATTTAATGTAAAACAAAACAAACATGTCGCCTAAATAAAACAGCATGTGTAAACGCTCTCGATAGATCCAACATTCACACCAAGAGCAAATCAACAATTTGTAGTCTGTCTGAACGCCATCAACAAATATACCATTCAATCAAATGCAGCCATGATTCATGCCAACAGCCAACCACGTGCGCGTCTCAACGCGTGTTTCTCTCTTTTGCTGCTTTTTATTGCTTCTTGTGAGGAATTTACTGGCGCGTTCATATTTTAAAAAAAAAAATTTTAATCAGTTTACCGAGAATAGAAGAGGAATAATAATAATAATAATAATAATAATAATAATAATAATAATAATTACAGACTATCTTTAAAAATCCATTTCGGTTATAATTTATATAGTTGTAATACATGTGCTCGATCAATCTGGGTGTATTAAGCTTTTCCCGTGTATATTTATATATCAGAATTACTTTATTGGCGGGATGCCCCCCCCCTCACTCATCATCATCAACAACAATAATAATTAATATAAAAGTTTCACTTTTAACTAAATCAATCTCAGTCTTTCCAAATCTCTCTCTCTCTCTCTCTCTCTCTCTCTCTCTCTCTATCTATCTATCTATCTATCTATCTATCTATCTATCTATCTATCTATCTGTCTCTTCATCTATCTATCTATCCCCTCTGTTCATATCTATCTATCTATCTCAGCCTGATCACTATCTATCTATCTATCTATCTATCTATCTATCTATCTATCTATCTATCTATCTATCTATCAGTCTCTTCATCTATATATCTATCCCTCTGTTGATTAATATCTATTAATCTATCTATATATCTATCTATCTATCTATCTATCTATCTATCTATCTATCTATCTATCTATCTATATATATCATCTATCTATATCCCTCTGTTCATATATATTATCTATCTATCTATCTATCTATCTATTTTTCTATCTATCTATCTATCTATCTTTCTCAATATTTTTATCTATCTATATCCCCTTTGTTCATATCTATCTATCTATCTATCTATCTATCTATCTATCTATCTATCTATCTATCTATCTATCTATCTCCGTCGTGTTTGACATAGTAGTATTTAATTTGCAAGAAGAAAGGGTCTTTCTTTATTAATCGGTTATATATACTTTCCCCCACTATTTATAGTTGTTTTCCCTTATTTAAAGAATTCATATTTCTTTGTTTATTAGTTTATCTCATTCAACGGCCAGGAGAAATGGGTGAAATCGTATTTATTTAAATTTAAAAACAAAGCTGTCGTCTGTGCGGGGATGAGAAAAGAGAGATGGATAAAGAGAAAAAAGAGAGAAAAATGAATGAAATAAAATGTTAGAGAAGGAGAGAGAGAGAAGAGAAGGTAGGAAAAGAAGTGGTTTGGGCTTGGGTGGGTGGGGGTTGTGTTGTGAAACCAAAGGACCGTTAAAAAAAACTACGCAATGAAAGAATTAAGAAGCAAGTTTAAAAAGTCAGTTTGACGTTGGAGACGGTTGATGTTTACAAACATTCACGCATTTTTTTTTCCTTCCCTTTCTTCCTTTCTCTTTCCACGTAGAACCACGTGAGTTGCGAGTCTCATCGCCGTTCAATGGCAAAGCTGAGGAATTCATTCTCGAGAAAACGACAACGATTTGAAATTTTCGCGAACGGATTTAAATTGCGCGCATTTAATATTTTTACGCGCGCACACACACAATAACATATATTATTAAGGCAGTCAGGTAGGCAAACAGACCGGGAGAGAAAATTGAAAACTGAGAGGATATATACGCATTTATTTATATGGAAGTATAACGAACGGGTACGTTCTATTTTTAGACAGGCCGTTGTCTGTGCGTAAAGTGAGCAGCCTTCAGATATGTGGCAACATGTGAATTAAGAAGCGAGTTTAAAAGTGAGGGTTCGATTTTTAATTGGGTACTAAAAACACGAAATGTGGCGGCCTTGTGTTAATTATATTAATAAAAGAATAAAAGATGCATAAAGAAAGATTCTGCGTGCGTGCATCTATCTATCTATCTATCTATCTATCTATCTATCCAAAATCCTCATATCATAAATAATATTTTTTTAGTAAGCTATCATTCTTTCTATTATCTATCTATCTATCTATCTATCTATCTATCTATCTATCTATCTATCAATAACGGTGCAAGGTCTTGTGCCCCCACTACAAATCTATGATACGCCTCCCCCAATCTATGATATGGGGCCCCAACTCTTCTACATCTCAATTTTCATGAGCTAGTATTCATATAAAATGCAAATTTTATTGTAACCTAATTATGTACAATAATGGATCATATGCAATATAGGAGAACAATTCAAGTAGAAAAATTGAAAATCAATACAATGTATCTAAATGCAAATTAGAGACCTGTCATAATAGATGACTCCGTTTTAAATAAATCAACAATGTTTTGTGGCAATTTTTAGCATCAATTTGAGATTTTTCTTGTTAAAATGTTGAATAATTTTAACACATTCAACATTATGGATAAAAATAGTGAATTTTATATAGTTTTTTTTTTGTTTGTTTGTTTTTTTCGAGACTTAGCATGAACAAAACAATTTTACGGATTTGGACGAAAAAAAAAAAAGACCCCAGAACGACGTCAAAATTCCGCGAAAATTTTCATCATTTAATAATCGTGATTTATACTTAGTTTAATTTGTAACGTAAATAAATGTAGGTAGAAAAAAAAAAAAAGTAAATGTTGATAAGATAGCGAGAGTCACAAAGCACTGCCCGGGGGTCCGAATCTGTCGTGACGTACGCAGTGGCCCCGATCTGTATCATAATTTGTTTATTGTGCATCTATATCCGTCTTGTCGCGTAGATATGTGGTGGAGATTAAAACACTGTGTTGAATATTAATATGTATTAAATTTAATTTTTCATTTGATATCCTTTAAAAATCATTTTTTTTTATTGTAGTCTTTGAATATTGACGCTTTAATCATCATTCACAGAAATAGAAAAAAAACAATCCTGGGAAATCTTTTTGCAGCTATTTTAAGCGATAAAAAAAAGTATATCCCTAGATAAGGTGCAATTATTGAGGGTAATTTTCACATTTTTATTGGCTTGAAAATTTCTTGGGACTAATCAACAATCATCCAAAATTTAACTGTTTAAGTACTTTAACAAATTCATGTAATGAGTGACTACACTATAGGTAGTAACTACCTATAAGTATCTGTAAGTCAACGGACTACAAAGACTAGTCGGGATCTGTTGAGTAGAACTCAGACTTACGCGAGAACTTTGACCTTTTTAGTAGCACTCAAATACTGGATTGACTTGCGACAACCTTTTTAATAATTGTTTTTTTATTCTTATTGTACCGTTTTTTTTTATAAATAAACTTTTACTTATTTTATCCAATTTGTTTTTCAAGGATAAATATTCCTATTAAAAAAAAATAAAAAACAAATAAACCAAAGTCTATCAAATATGAATACTCAACTAAAATAATATAATAAAATCCATTGGATTAACCATGGCTATATAGTACCCAGAGCAAATTTTCCTATTTTTAATTACAATTTTCAGTACCTGATTTTCTCACTTAAATAATATTTTTCAGTTCCTATTAATGTTAACTCAAAGTACAAGGTTTGAAGTGCCTGCATGTAAAATATTTCAAATAAAGATTTATATTTAATATTTTTTTTGGATATTTTCAAAATCGGGTATGATATACCCATGGTTAGTAGTAGTGTAACTTTAATTGATGGTTAGTGTTCTAGGGTTAATACATAAAAAAAAGTTATACTTCTTACCTAAATTTGAACCCGGTTCGCGTATTTACTATTCCATTAGACCAACACTGCGCATTTGTCTTTTTTGTACTTAAATATTATTAATCATTATTGATTACTTATCATTCAATGAGTTTTAACAACAACAACAATAATAAAAATGTTCATATATATATTTGACAATAATCTTATACTATTTATTATATGAAGACATGTTTCATTAAATAATTTAGACAAGTTATGTTTATTATATATATATATATATATATATATATATATATATATATATATATATATATATATATTATATATTGGACAAAAAAATGACGTTTATATCGTCAACTTTAAATTGTTCAGTACATAACCTTAGCGTTTTTTATTTCACGGTTTAAAAAAAATTAACTTTCAGATGAACAGAACAATTTTGTCTAGGAAAAAACAATACCCTGATGATGACATTATTCTGATGTCGAAAGTAACAGAATTTTTTTGGTATGGGTGTTCAAAAGAAATAATTCTCTCTGAATAAATGAATATGTATCAACATGCTAATTTTCTTCAGAATAATTTAATAAAAACTAAAAAAAAAAAAACGTCTGTGAATATGAGAGGATCCTACTGAAAATAGACGAAATTTGTCTAAATTATTGAATGACACATGCCTTAGTATATATATATATATATGTATATATATATATATAATTTTTTATTTTCCCAAGTAGTTTCGATCTCATCTGAGACTCATCTTCAGCGGTTGCATATTTATGGAGGCGTTATGCGCTAACCCCGTAAATTCAAAATATTTTTCACTTCGATGCGATTTTTTTATTGTAGCATTTTAATTTAGTATTTTTATATAAGACGTTGGAAGCAAACTTGTTGAGTTAAAGGGAAATAACTGAAACACCCGGAAGAGGCATGACACGTGGAACTAGAACAATCTATGCTGGTGTGCGGTTTGGTTTGCACTTGCGAAACATTTAAGAACTTTGTTCTTATACTCGTAGTTGACTATTTATTTTGAGGCACAATTCTCTTATATAAAGGGCTTCCAGAATTTTAAGATTTTGCTTATTATTATCTTGATGAAACACTGATGTATTTTTGATTAATATTTGTTTAAACTGTGAATGTGGATATGAAAAAAAAATAAATGTTCCGAGATTGAACTATGATCATTCAAGTGAAACATAAACCTTCTTGTCATTGTTGCTGCTGTAAAACCAACGTACATACTAACATTTTTAACAGCGATAAATTGAGATATGATGTTTGTCTCTGTAAGAAGCTAGTTGATAGAGAAGAGTATAGAGTAAAGTTAACAAATTTGTTGGTATATAATCCAAGTGGATGTAAGTAATATAAAATATTAAAACTAATCCACAAAAGGGGCTCAAAATTTTGTTCCTATTCTCGTAGTTTATTTTTGACCGCAATTCTTTCAAGTCCACAAATTAATTTCTTGGTGGCTGTAGAAAATTGATCAAGAAAACTTCAAGACTTCCAGAATTTTAAGTTTTTGCTTATTATTATTTTGATGAAGCACTGATGGATTTTCGACTCTTCGTCGGCATCCGTCCGTCTTGAGAGACGATGGAGTAGCACGATGCGTTACGAGCCTAGGCGTGATATATGGAGAACTAGGGCTCCCCAGACGTCTAGTTCCCCCTCTCGGCCTTGCTAGCAGAAACCGAAAGAGAGGATAAACCAATACATTTTGGTACCAGCGCGGCTGCAGGAGTTGACGGAAGGTAGCACAAAGTGCCGTCAATCCGCCTTAGGGGATCCACTCCGGGTTTGAATTCAGACTTGTCCTTCTCCTAGACCAGTTGCCATCCAAGGCTATAGAACCCAGTCTGTCCTGCTATTTACCCATAGCTGGAGGGAGAAGAAGAGGATTCACACCTTTCCCATTACATTCATTAACGTGTTTGGAAAAATAAATCATCTTCTTACCTTCACTGTTATCAACAGAAAATTGTCCATTCCTACAGTCCAGTGTTTCCATTAATTTTGTACAGTCCAGTTAATTTC